CAACAGGGTTCCGTCTTCGTTGAAGACCGCCCACATCCGCCGTATTCCGAAATAGAGTAGCCACTCGGACCCCTAGAGGTACAGGCCTATCACGACAACATCCTTACTTGCGAAGGTTATGGAGTGAATCTTAAACATCCAGCTACTTCAGTACTTTGAGTATCGCCGATTGATCAGTGACCAGCAGTATGGTTTCCGTTAGTTCTTGAAATTCATTAAAAGCATATTTTAATTCTCTCAATGTAAACTGACAAAATTAACTATGACCATGACAATTACAAAATGTTCGTAAAAATTCAAATATAGATTAACAAAACTCTGATGTCTATTTCGACGGGACTGTAATTATATTACATTACATAAATACGATAGTACGGCTAATAAATATTTTGCTATAATAAAATTCAATTTCTCAATTACGTTAACAAAATATATACTTTAAATTCAAATAACATGCTGTAAAAGATATCGCACGGTAATGCTTATTCATCACTAATTCTATATGTGTCATTAAATTCTAGTGCTTATCAAATTAAGTTTCTTATCAGTGCAGAGTTAATAATAATTACATTTTTCAATGTTATAGTCCATTTACCACTATAGCTGAGCTCAAAATTCATTACAGAGTTATTAACGTCATCGTTAACAGAATATTGACATCTCTTTACAGATTTATTTATTTTCAAGTTAAGCTTCTTTATTTATTTTGTCCGTTCAAGTTTTTATAATTTCAGACACGATCCAATTTTATTATTAGCTTATAAATTAAACCTATATTTATTGGGTTGGTTGAAATAAGGTCTCCCGATTAGACCGTCAAGAAAACTCCTATTAGAACATATTAATAAATTTGTACCTATTCATATTTTAACAAAGGGTCTACTTATCTGCAGTTGGTTATTTAATTATATATAATTATATTCATATATCCATATTAATTAATTCATAAGCCTAAATCTATTGTTAGAATGTTTTGAAAAACAATGTTTGTCTCAATTTGTAAAGTTTATATAAGTTAAGATAAGTTTCAAAAGTTTATATAACACCAGCAACCTTCAAATTGGAACGTATTACTGCTTCACCCTAGAAATAGACGGGGTTGTAACACTTCCGCACTGAGAAGCCGAAGAGGGATCCCACATCCTTTTGTGCTCCTCATCCTCACGGAGTGCCCTGATCAGATCACAAAATTCGGCCATGGGTTCCCATGAAGTCCGGTCTTCTACAATTCTACAATGGGACGAGATTTCGCCGCAGGTGCTCCCACGCGGGCATGCTTCAATCGCGTGCAAAGTGTCATCGTCCGGGTGCCCGCATTAATTGCAAGTCGGATGCGGCTCCATCCTGCAGATTCTCCGCAGGTACCTCCCGAAGCAGCCATGCCCCGAAAGGACTTGCGTGAGACGGGAGGAGAGAACGCCAGGTCTCCGATCTGACCATTGCTCAAGCACGAGTAGTGCCCCGAGCGTACGCCGGCGGGTGGCCGAAGTTAAGTCCAGCCCCTCCAGCAACCGCTTCCTACACTTGCCGTACGCCAGACGACGCGCAGCACGCCTTCACCGATCGACAGCCGACGGGTTGGGTATATACCTCGACTCAAGGCTTGTGCCCTGTGCTGCTAATCGCAATCAACACAAAATCGGCCCCAAAATCCCAAGGGAGCTGGTGAAGGTGCAGGTGACCTCACGGAAGATCGTGCGATACCCCGTGATGACCGTGTGACACCTACCCCTGGAGCTCATCAGACTTTTTTCCAATAGGGGTATACCTATTTGACTGTTGTGCTTATTGTTGTTAGTGGGCTAGCAACTTGGATATACTAGTGTTTCACTCAATGACTAGGCAAAAATCAGGGCCACTTTATCTATCGTTCGTTTTTATAATAAATAATTTTATCTTTAATCCGATGTATGTATAACTTGCAACCTGATAGAAAGGACAGCGAAAAAGCAACTATACGTCATTTCGTTATGACATCAAATTTATTTGGTTGTCGACTATAGAGTTAATCTCTTAACGTTTTTTTATTTGATAAAATAATGTACATGATCTGACGATCATCAAGTCGTTCGACACAGTAATTTTTACAATTCAATAAATATATATCTGCAAATTTAATGCTGTCAAGTATTATTATTTTTTTTTAAAACATCTAGTAATTTAAAAAAATATTGTTATTTGATTTGGGCCATCCACTTTAAGACATTAAGATAACAAATATGGAATTGAAAAACATTGATCGGCTATCCTGCCCTTTAAACGAAAAGACGTGATTGATTTGCGCGTTTCATTTTATTATGATCTAGCGGCCCGCTCCGGCTTCGCTCGGGTCTTTAACAAAAACTTCAACAATATTTGACGTTGTTTTATTTTTTTACATAAAAGATTTTAATAGAGAAAAGATTAAAATAAAAGAATTATTGCGGCTTAACTATAATAGTTAGACATATGCTGTCGCGACACTTTTTATAATTAATAATGTGTTCTACAAAGTCGTAGTACATTATTTTATTCTATCATCAATAGTTTTAGCAGGGCACGCAATGTAAAGAATATTTTAGGTAATCTTTTTACACCTTGAGTTACACGTGGTGGTGACGTACGTGGTATTATTGGAGTTTTAGTAAGGATCCCTAATTTTTAAAAAAAAAATATGTCACTCGGGAATAGTGTAGCTTCCAAACAGTGAAAGAATTTTTCAAATCGGTTCAGTAGTTTCGGAGCCTATTCAATACAAACAAACAAATCTTTCCTCTTTATAATATTAGTATAGATTATATTTTATTACATTATTCGCGAGTAACACAACCAGGTAAATGCGGCGAAACAAAATAATAAACCACAAATTGTTCAGTCGATTTTTTATTTACAGTACGTGAAGCCTGCAAATCTTCTTACATATTATGTATACTTTCGATTTCCTCGTCCACCTATCTAAGCAATAAAAAAAGAATACATACGAGCATACTTTTATTTCTAGCAACTATAGATAATATAACCCCCAAGTTATGAATTCTGTAACTAGAGTAGGACAACGCGAGTCAGTCAGCTTTTACTGGTAGTATGACGTCTGGTGAGCAAGCATAGGTAGGTAGGTACCACCACCCTATCTATTTCTGCCATGAAGCATTAATGCGGTAAGTGGTTACCGAAGCCCATATACATCTACAACGTAAATGCTGCCAACCACCTTGAGACAAGAGTTCTAAGGTCTTAGTTTTTTTAACAACGTAGGCAGCGGCTTGCCTCTGCCACAGGCATTGCTGAAGTCCATAGGCGACGGTAACCACTCACCATCAGGTGGGCCGTATACTCGTCTGGCTACAAAAATAAGAAATAATAGGTCTTTACATAATAATATGAAGTCGCCGTTTGACAGTAATGGCAATTTGAAACGTAATTTATGCATGGTGGACAATAAATTCAAATAATTTTTTGTAATATTTTTTTTAATAATCTTAAGCCCATCACCATATTGGTTCGACCCTGCTACAACATTTAGGAAATGTCCCATACGAAAACTTACCCCTTAAAAGTCAGGGTTACTGTTTGTTGGTCTAGTGCCGGCAAAATTGATCACAGCTTCTTATTAAATGGCATCAGTATTACTGCGGATGTGTACTTCGAGGAACTGGACATAATGACGGCGGAGCTCGCGAATCTCCAGCAAGTATTTGAGGATTTGTTAATCGCTCGATCATGCTGCTCCTACAGACGGTCTCTAAGCTACAAGAGCTAGAATTAGAAGCTTTGCATCTTCACAAAATTCATCAGACCTTGCGCCGACAGACTTTTAGTTTTTCCATAGTTACGACAACTTTTTGACAGGCAAAAATTCAGTGCTGGAGATGTTTTTTTTATGATTGTAGGATTGCTGGTAGCCGGGAAGCCTTTCCTTTCGAGCAGAGGAGCCAGGAGGGGTGGCATTAGCTAATAGCTGCCCGAGTCGGAAGAGACCTAACAACTCAAGGACAGCTGCTTCGCGGATGAATCTATTACCGAATCGGGATCGCGACTCACTGAGAAGATCCGGCGAGAAACTCAGCGGGCTAACGCATGGGTTAGGTTACACGTAGAACTTTTCGCCGAGTTCGACGAGTACGGTTACCGGGGTCCCTAAGCCTTGTATTACAGTTGAAGGCGTCTAGTGCAATAGTTATTGGATCTGATGGATCTGTAAAGACGTGTCTAGGGCGTCGACGGTGACTGGCTTCTGCGTTATCAGGATTCGGGCAGTAGTTAGCGGCGGCAACGATAAGCAGATTATCATGACGCTAGGCCTTATCGAAGAAACGTTCAAACGCTGAATTCATGTGTTTTTGGATCGATTCGAGGCCCACGTCGTGTAAATCAACGTTCCTCACGAACCACGGAGCCCCGACGGCTAACCTGCAAAAGCAGGATTGTAGGGATTGGAGGGTGTCTATGTGTGTGCGGGCCGCGCGAGCGAGCACCACACTGGCGTAAGTCATGACGGGCCTTATACAAGTTTTGTAAAGTGTCACCTTGTTCCGAAGGGATATTTTACTCTGCTTAGAGATCATGGGATAGAGTCTGCCGAGAATAAAGGCGGCACGGTTGCGGACTGTTTTTATATGCGGACAGAATGTCGTGGATGCATCCAGGGGACTCCCAGGTACTTGACCTTCCTGGCCCAGGGTATGGGTTGGCCGAAGAGGGTGATCGGGGGTGTGATATTTCTTCTCCTAATGCGGGAGGAAATACGGGTTGAGTTTCCCCTTTGAAACAGCACCGCTGTGCTTTTCGCTGGGTTGATGTCTATGAGCCATTTTTGGAACCACTGTCCACGGAGGGAAGAAACAACCAGATTCTAGGACTTTCTTTGTTTCGCGACACAAATGCTCCATAGATTCGGGCCCTGTGATCATGTCATCAACGTAAAAAGCGTTATTTATGATCCATTGTACATCCAAGTCACTGCACTCTGCTGCTAACTGCTTTAAACACCTCACAGTGAAAAATGCAGCAGAGGCAGTACCTTAAGTGACCGTTTTTAACTTGTAGCACTCGAGACGATCACTAATAGGTACTTCTCTGTATACCTTCTCGATATCGGTGCAGGCTACAAACTTGGGCTGTCTAAATCTTAACAGTATAGAAAATACATCGCCCTGAATAGGTGGGCCGACTAACTGCAACTCGTTAAGTGATATGTTGGAGCTAGAATTTTGACTACCATTGAACGCAACGCGCAGCTTAGCAGTTGTGGTGCGGTGATTACGAAAAACGCCGTGATGCGGCATGATATAATGTGGCTTAGCGTATAAGTCTACACGACTCATGTGCCCTAGACTGCAGTACTCGTTCATGAACTCTGTGTATATTTTTTTAAATAAAGGGTTGCGCTGTAATCTTTTTTCAAGTGATAAAAATTGTTGTTCAGCTATCGTGTATGTATCACCTAAAATGTCTGGAGAGCGTTTGAGAGGTATTTTGACTAAAATCTACCATCAGCTGTTCGCATCGTATTTTTAATGACATGATTTCGCATGCAATCTCATCATCGCTTAATAAATTAGCCTTTGGTAGCTCCTCAAGTTTCCAAAACATTCTTAATTGATTGTTGATAACTTGTGTAAAATTGCAATGAACTAAATTGTCGCCTTTTGAATAATTAGAATGCGTAAGTCCCGAAATAATCCACCCTAACTTTGTATTTTGAAGGACAGGACCATTTTGCAAGCGTATCCTTCCTTCGCTTAACAAGTCCCAAAACATGTCAGCACCGATTAAAATATCTATTTGTTGACTTTCATTAAAGTGCGCATCGGCTAACTGAATGTTGTTAGGTAATTGTAAAAGTTCGCTTTGTATAGAAACGGGCGACAAAGAAGAAGTTATCTCGGGCAGCACGAAACATTGTAAGCGCGTAATAAAAATGCCAGATATCGCTTTTATTTCAACTTCACATGATTGTATACTGTGAGTTATAGAATTTCCAACACCTTTTATGTGAGTAGTGGACTGTATGGTAGGAATGTTAAGTAAATCGCATAATCGCTTTGTGATGAAACATCGCTCGCTTCCGCAATCGAGCAGAGTGCGCGCGATGTGATATTTTCCGTCGTTGGATACTAACTCCACCTGAGCCGTTGACAATAATACAAGATTCACACTGGTTAATTGCTCGCTGCGTATATCTAAGTGTGAAGCCTATGTATAACTTGCAACGGCGTTCGCATCGGAGGAGTTGTTTACGCTTAGAGAAACCGGTTTGTTATCGCTAGAAATGGTCGCGGCAACGGCGACCAACTGATCTATATGAATCATTGTGTGATGCCGTTTAATTACATTTACGACATGAACCGAACCTGCAGTTTGATACTGAATGTCCTGTTCGTCAACAACTAGGATACAGGTTATTTTCCTGAACGAATTTCAATTTCTCTTGTAAATTAAAGTCAATAAAAGATTGACAAGTGTATAGTGGATGATAATTATTGCATATTAAGCAAACGCGTGGTTTTTTATATTATTGTTGTGAACTATTTGCAGTGAGTGATACTGGAGACACATGGCAGTGGACCTTAGACGTAGGCACTTGTTTATTCGCTTTATTGTTAGTGCTATGTGTAACCAATAATGTTTCTAACATGTCTGTCCTATTTTTGAGAAAAGTAATTAAATGATCTACCTTAACTGCCGATCTAGTTTGTTTGGAAGTGTCCCCACTGCTTACGGCGGGAATGGAACTTCGGTATTGCTCCCATTCTCGTTCGGTGGTGCTATCCAATTTACAAACCACCATATACTTAGTCTGGCCATAAATACTGTTACAAATAAAAATAAAACAATTCTATTGCAAATAACATTTATTACTTTTACAGTTTAATATATAAATATAAAACAATTTAAAGTATAAAAAGCTTATTCGAAGTGGTCTCCATTGGCTGCAATACAGTCCTTTAAACGTTGAGGCCAGTTATCAATAGAAGCACGCACTCTTTCCATGGGAAAAATTTTCACTGCCAGTCGTACGGATTATTTTAGGGACTCCAAATTATCATGACGTTTAGAGCAAGCCGTACTCTCTAAAACTGACCATAAATCATAATCCAGCGGATTAAGATCGGGACTAGACGACGGTCAGTCTTCAGCTCTGATGAAGTCCGAAACGTTCGTTTCCAACCAAGACTGCGTAGACCGAGCTTTATGACTTGGCGCCGAGTCTTGCTGGAAGGACCATTCTTGATTATTGAACATGTTGTTAAGGGGCTTCACTACCTTCTCAAGAATGATATCTTGATACACTTGTGCCGATGTTTTGATACCTTTTTCACAAAAGTATGGCTCAGTCACTCCTTCATAGCTAATACTAAGCCATCTACCCACTAAACCATCACTGAAGTCGGATAGTGCCCACGTTGCACTCTGTCGACGAATTGGGGAGCCTCCTTAGAGCTTTGAGCATAAATACGGTCATTTTGTTTGTTAAAATGTTGCTCAATTGTAAAAAAATTCTCATTCGTAAACAAAAAATTTCTATGACCTCCCTTTGCGTACCGCTTCAGTAGTTGTTTCGATTTTACCACCCTATTCTCTTTTAAATTATCAGTTAAGAAATGACCAGTACGTCTCTTATAGGCTGCAAGTCTTAAGTCATCTTTTAAAATACGCGACATGGTTCTAGGTGCTATCTTCATCTCCCGAGATAAAATTTTCGGACAGGATTTCTTCGAATTTTTCTCTTACTGCTTTTACCACCTTTTTCGTACGAACACTACGTGGACGGCCAGATCTTTTTCTGTCACAAACAGAGGAGGTCTCATTGCACCTATTAATAGCCCGGTACGCAAATATTTTACTAATACCAAGTGTATCGAGAGTTTTAAAAATTGCATTTGGCTCCATACCTACTTTGTGTAATGCAATTACAGCGATTCGGTTCTCTTTATCACCCCACTCCATTTTAATATCGCAAAATATTGTAAATGCGCCAAAATGAGAAAACTCAGTGAGCAATCATATAAAAATAACAGATTCCAAATTCAAATGTAATATTTTGTTTATTTTTAATTGTAACAGTATTTATGGCCAGACTAAGTATATAGCGAGTGTATCCCACGATTCTACCAGTTCGTTAAGTAATTTTAAAGCGTGTAAGTTTTTCAAGATAGTGTCTATTAATTTCGATTATGATTTATTCACACTGAGTAATTATTAGAGGAAAATTCCAAAGAATCATTAACCAATGCCGCAACATTTTTTAATGAAGATTTTAGGTAATGAAAATTTTGGATTGGAGAAATATCTGTATTGTTGTGCACTAAAGAGAGAAAGGTGTCCCTGTGCTCCAGCCAGTGCTCATATATGATCTATCAAAGGTAGGCATAGCTATGGTAGGCAGTTTTACAGCGTGTGAGCCAGGATGTGAGCTTGGAGCAACATCACCAGAAAGTAAGCATTTAGCTTTAGCTATAATGGTGTAGTAAGCACTTTCAAAGCCTTCGCGTAATGCAAGTTGTTGAGAAAGGTCATGATCATTAACTGATAGTTCAATTTCACTTTATATTTCACTGAACTCATCAAACATTTTAGAAGCCGTCGAACCGCCCGATCAGCCTCCTCATGTCTCTAGGCAAACTGTATGAGCGTCTGCTCTACAAACGCCTCAGAGACTTCGTCTCATCCAAGGGCATTCTCATCGATGAACAATTCGGATTCCGTACAAATCACTCATGCGTTCAACAGGTGCACCGCCTCACGGAGCACATTCTTGTGGGGCTTAATCGACCAAAACCGTTATACACGGGAGCTCTCTTCTTCGACGTCGCAAAAGCGTTCGACAAAGTCTGGCACAATGGTTTGATTTTCAAACTATTCAACATGGGCGTGCCGGATAGTCTCGTGCTCATCATACGGGACTTCTTGTCGAACCGCTCTTTTCGATATCGAGTCGAGGGAACCCGCTCCTCCCCACGACCTCTCACAGCTGGAGTCCCGCAAGGCTCTGTCCTCTCACCCCTCCTATTTAGCTTATTCGTCAACGATATTCCCCGGTCGCCGCCGACCCATTTAGCTTTATTCGCCGACGACACGACTGTTTACTATTCTAGTAGAAATAAGTCCCTAATCGCGAAGAAGCTTCAGAGCGCAGCCCTAGCCCTAGGACAGTGGTTCCGAAAATGGCGCATAGACATCAACCCAGCGAAAAGTACTGCGGTGCTATTTCAGAGGGGAAGCTCCACACGGATTTCCTCCCGGATTAGGAGGAGGAATCTCACACCCCCGATTACTCTCTTTAGACAACCCATACCCTGGGCCAGGAAGGTCAAGTACCTGGGCGTTACCCTGGATGCATCGATGACATTCCGCCCGCATATAAAATCAGTCCGTGACCGTGCCGCGTTTATTCTCGGTAGACTCTACCCCATGATCTGTAAGCGGAGTAAAATGTCCCTTCGGAACAAGGTGACACTTTACAAAACTTGCATAAGGCCCGTCATGACTTACGCGAGTGTGGTGTTCGCTCACGCGGCCCGCACACACATAGACACCCTTCAATCTCTACAATCCCGCTTTTGCAGGTTAGCCGTCGGAGCTCCGTGGTTCGTGAGGAACGTTGACCTACACGACGACCTGGGCCTCGAATCTATACAGAAATACATGAAGTCAGCGTCGGAACGGTACTTCGATAAGGCTATGCGTCATGATAATCGCCTTATCGTAGCCGCCGCTGACTACTCCCCGAATCCTGATCATGCAGGAGCCAGTCACCGTCGACGCCCTAGACACGTCCTTACGGATCCATCAGATCCAATAACCTTTGCACTAGACGCCTTCAGCTCTAGGAGCAGGCTTAGGGACCTCGGTAACCGTACTCGTCGAACTCGACAAAGAGTTCGCCGTGCAACCTAACCCATGAATCAGCTCGCTGAGTTTCTCGCCGGATCTTCTCAGCGGGTCGCGATTCCGATCCGGTAGTAGATTCATTCGCGAAGCAGCTACTCTTGAGTTGTTAGGTCTCCTTCGGAGGCGCTCGGGTAGCTGTTAGCAAATCCCACCCCTCCTGGCTGAGCCTTTGCTCGCCCACCTGTCCTGGTGAAACTGGAAAGGCCTCTGGGCCACAAGTAATCATTCAATCATAAAAAAAAAAAAAAAGCCGTCGATAGCCGTAATTCTAATTCTGCGCGTTTATTTAAACATGAAACTAGTGAATTCTGATCCAAGCTATTAATGTGTTTGTTAATTCTTTAATAATTATTAATAATTATTATTAATTATGGGCAGATAAAGGCTGATGATGATGATGATGATGACGATGTTAAAACTGTTAATCTGTCTCTAATGACGCCTCTTTTTTTAATTATTATACATTTCATAGAGGGTCATTGCTTTTTCATAGAGGGTCAGAATTTGGACTTTTGGGAGATTTTTCTGGAATAATAAATTTTTCGGTGCTCATTTTGGTGGGTGATAGAAAAACACTGGAATTTGCAGATAGAACGCTATTAGGTAAGCAGGATGGGAAGGAAACTAGTGGCCTTCTTACCGAAATACACCGTTTGCGATGCTGATCACTCTGTTCTCTGGCGTTTGGAAGCTGATCCGTCTTCGTATAGTGGGTGAAATTATTCGGCTCGACGGACCAATGTTGGCGAGGAAGAGGAGGCAAGCAATGGTGTACAAACGAAATGAATATTTTATTTTTCCTTCCAATTTATGTTTTAAAATAACGGCCGTAACGATATACAGGTACACAGGTGTTATGCGTAAGGTTGTTGCGAGAGAAGTGCGTGCGGTGGCAGTAGTGCTCGTTGACCGATTTCTTTTTGTTGGTAGTATTGTGCGCATAGACAGTATATTTTGATTGATAGAAAGAAAAAGTTATTGATGTTAAAAAAAAATACTTTAACTTTTTGTAAAAAGTAAAAAATCATTCTCTAAAAGGTACCTTCACAGACAAAGACGTAATATTTTAGAACTAATTCAAAAGAATAAGAGATAATTCATTAGCTGGTAAATAGTACATAAAGGCTTATCGGCTAGCAGTGAAACTGTTTAAAAATAATCGAAGTATTGCATGCAACGAACGTGTTAAATTAAACAAATTAGGAAATCATATACTTATAAAAGACCTTGAAAATATTAAAAAAAAAACAGCTTTTGTTTTTTCTGTAATTATTTTGAACTGGTTAAACCGAACAATATATTTAAGAATTAATAATTGCTGTTTAACGATATCGTCATTTAATTGCAATTTTGAAAACATGATATAATAAGTAGTGTGACATGATCCTTTTGGTTAAGACCATACCATATATATTACTCTTTTATTTGTATTCCGTATCGACCCAATACAGACCACACAGTATATTTTATTGGGTACAAATCACGTTTTAGCTAATTAAGTTTTGTAGGTTTTAATTTTGTACGCGATGTCATTTCTTCATTATAGAACTCATTCGTAAAAATGTATTACGTTCATTATTCTTTAAAAAAAATAGTACCTGACTGCGGGATTTGAACACCGACGTACATACCTACATAGTTGCATCGCTAAAAGAGTACACTTGGCTTCTTATCCTTGAGCCAATAATAATTTTTAAGGTATTGCATTATTTGTTCAAATGTAATTGAAGATATTTTGAATAAATAAACAATGAAGTTAAAATTTAGTAATTTATGTATTAAGCATAAATGCATGAAATCGTTTGAATTTTTTTTCAATTTGCATGAAAATACTTTGGTGACGACTTAAGATTACCATTTTAATTTGTAACGGAATAGAGTATAATAATGAAAATTTTATTTTCTATTTAATTTTTACATGTACATTACTGACATTATTTCTTTAAAAAGTTTTAACGAACATAAATTTTGTTGAGATTGAGCCATAGCTAAGCGCCGGAATGTAATCTTAAGAGTTGGTAATGGATCGTTTCAAACTGAGGTGAACTTTATTTAAATGATAATTCTCGACGTTCGGTTTTAAATTACTTAACACACATAATTCAGCAACTCAAGTTTTTGTCGTTGTATTTATTATTCTGTTTCCAAAAATGTTCTTCTCAGTCGGACAGTCTTGTCAGAGTGGTCGTGGTTGCGTTGACGCTGTATGTGCAGTAGGACCTGTTAGGTCGCCCATGCTCCCGACAACCGCCCTCCAGGCAATGCGCTTCCAGGTCTGGCGGTTCGAAGCGTTACGAGTACATTCGACCATAGTGGACTCAGTCAGACCAATAATGTTATTTTCAATCTATTAATGTGAATGATGATGATAAGTATGTCTACTAAATGTCATATTATAACAAACATATACACTTTATTTTATGCCATTTATAATTTTTACTCTAATTTGTTATATTGAATGTAGAAAATAATAAAACTATCTGGAATTCAGGACGTACATTTTTTTATAAACACATTTTTACACATAAACACAATTTAAAATGGGCTCTATCGATCGATTAAAGAGTAAATGTGGAAACGACGTAACCTTATCAATAAATACCGATAATTTAGATTACACCCAATATAATAGTGTGTGGCAAATAAATTATCACTAAGCGTGTACAGTCAGTTTTCATTTGTGAAACTACACAGTTCGAACTCCGCGTTTTATGAGAACACCGGGGCTCATGGCTTATGCTTAATTCGTAAATAATTAATTTATTAATTAATAGTTAATTTAGGTGGTGTCGTTGTTGAACTTTGATCTAAACATGGGTGTTGGAAGTGAAAAAGTTGATGAGCAGAAAAAGAAAAAACAATTGCCTACGATGAAAGAGCCTCCCGGAGCGTTTTCTCGTTCGTTATTCTGTTGGATGTTTCCGTTGTTTTATAGAGGGAACTACAGAGATTTAGAAGAAGAAGACTTAGTTCCGCCTAAAAATCAATATAATTCGAAACTAGTCGGAGATCAGCTAGAAAGGTATGTGCGAATTATACATTTAAAAGTAGGCAAAACCCTCAAATTAAATTTTTACAATCGAGTGAACATCAATTATCAATGTTTAATATTGGAGTTAGAAAATCCAAATTAGTTTTGATAATGTAATGAATTTTTTTGATTCCAAGCACTAGTCATTATAAAGTACGGTAAAGATCCAAAAATGTATTTGTAGCGATACAATTTTAATTTTATAAACAATATGTTTTTTTATATTTATATCAACGCCATACTGCTTGTAACTATACTGAGACCTTAAAACTCATATCACAAGGTGGGTGGTGGCATTTACGTTGTAGATGTCTAAGGGCTCCGGTAACCACTTAACATCAGGTGGACTGTGAGCTCGTCCACCCATCTACGCAATAAAAAAAATCTCAAAATGTTTCGTTTATATAATAGGCGATATGGTTTAATACAATTACAATAAATTCGTTTCAAATGATTGCAGCATTAACATATTTTTACATTGCGTCATTGGCAGTCGGCCGTTTGTACAAGTGATGTCTGCCATGAGATTTATGAACTAAAATTTCTATATTTTTACATTTCTTTATTTTTTCTAAAAAGATCATTAATGACAATGAAATGTTACCTCCCAATAAATCCGTTACATGTTTTTTTCTGAATTAAATAAAGTAAGGCCAAATACAAAGAAATAAAATTTATGTCAAGTCGTTAAGTAAAGAAAATACAATTCTGTAATGTATTTACGAATGTAGTTATACAACACGTTCACGATATTATCATTACAGTTTTAATAGTACAATGTTTTTGTTTGTAAAGCGAAGAATTATTTTCTTACGAAACATTAATTTAAATGTTAATTTGCATGAAAATTGCTTATTGTTGAGGACTGATGTCGACAACTAGCATACGACCTTCAGTGTTCGATGCCCATAGACATCTCGATGTGGTAAGGAACGGGGCTCGATCTCATTACAACAAACTTAATTCCTTATCCTTTGAACAGAAATATATTACTGATTTGTATCAAAAAGAAATCCGCAGGTAATGAGCATCGGTACAAAAATTAGACTATCAATTTATGTTATCTACTTATGCTTTATCGTATTCTTTATGTTACAGGGCATGGTTATTGGAGGAGCATAATGCACGGGCAGCCGGTAGAGACCCATCACTTATTAAAGTATTGTTCAAAACATTCGGATGGTCTTTTTTGCCTGGCGGTATTTTGCAATTCGGTTTTGCGATTTTACGGTAAACCTTAGTGTATAATAATAATAGTAATAATAACATATATTTAAGAATCAAGTCGCCACGTCCGTACGGATCTATCAGATCTAATAACTCTTCCATTAGACGCCTTCAGCCAAAACAATAGCAGCAGGTTTAGGGACTCTGGTAGCCATACCCGTCGAATTCGGCAAAGAGTTCGACGTGCAACCTAACTCAAACGTCAGCCCGTTGAGTTTTTCACCACATCTTCTCAGGGGGTTGCAGTTCCAATCTGGTGGTAGGTTCATTCGTGAAGCAGCTGCCCTTTAGTTGTTAGGTCTCTTCCGGAAGCGCTCGGGTAGCTGTTACCAAATCCCTTTTATCCTGGCAGGGCCTTTGCTTGCCCACCGGTTCTGATGAAACTGGAAAGACCTCCAAGTCGCCAGATATTCTTCATTCATAAAACAAAATCAAGTCATATGTTTTTATCTTTGTTTTAGAGCAGTTAAAGCTTTTATTGCTAACCAAATACAATAAGGTAAAGTGGAATGACAGTACTACGCTTTGCAATTTTATCTTTATGCTTCTTTGACAAAATCAGCCTGAAAATGATTTATCTTCATGCATGCATGCATGCATGCATGCATTTATAAATGTATGTATTTTAAATGTATTTGTCGGTTATCCACTCCTATGTTGAACATATACGTTGATCCATTGAAATTTTGTTCACGATGGTACAAGGTTCTTACTTAGTAACATCACAGTCTTTAGGAATATGTAGCGTATGTTTATTTTAACTAAAACAGTACTTATACTTTTAGCGATAGATAAAAATGTTTAGTCACTGTAAGCAATGGAAAAAGTTCAATTGGTTTTTTTTTCCTACCTAAGCTGTAGGCCATATCAGCGTAACCTTAACTAGTAGGTGAGCTCACAGGGCTCTAAAAATCCGCCGGATCGGAAACGTGACCCACTGAGAAGATCCGGCGAGAAACTCAGTGGGCTGTGTCTGTGGGTTAATTTACTTGACGAGCCCTTCGTCGCAAGCGACGGATTCGATAATAACGATGACGACTGTTTACCATTCGGTCCGCAGGACCGGCTTCTATACTTTTTTTTTTATGATTGAAGAATTACTAGTGGCCCGTAGGTCTTTCCAGTTTCACCAGGACAGGTGGACGAGCAAAGGCTCAGCCAGGAGGGGTGGAATTTGCTAACAGCTACCCGAGTGCCTCCGAAGGAGACCTAACAACTCAAGAGCAACTGCTTCGCGAATGAATCCACTACCGAATCGGAATCGCGACCCGCTGAGAAGATCCGGCGAGAAACTCAGCGAGCTGATTCATGGGTTAGGTTGCACGGCGAACTCTTTGTCGAGTTCGACGAGTACGGTTACCGGGGTCCCTAAGCCTGCTCCTAGTGTTAGAGCTGAAGGCGTCTAATGAAAAGGTTATTGGATTAGGTGGATCCGTAAGGACGTGTCTATCGCGTCGACGGTGACTTGCTCCTGCGTGATCAGGATTCGGGGAGTAGTCAGCGGCGGCAGCTATCTATACTACGATACTTCTGAATACTCAATAAATACATATTAATTAATTTATCATTCACAGTATTATAACACCGTTGTTATTTGGAGAGCTGCTCACGTATTGGACAGTGGATCCGCCTATTACGCAAATGGAAGCGGTATACTACGCACTCAGTATGATAATCATTAATTGGATTGCAGCCTATCTGAACCACCACGGCAATTTATTTTGCTCCCAATTCGGAATGAAACTTAGAATTGCTACAAGCTCTTTGATGTTCAGGAAGGTAGTGTTCTAGTGTCACTTTTTGATGCATTTTATGTTAACGTATCGCGTGTGCATTCCCATCTTTCTGCAAATGATTCAGTATTTGGCTTGAAGGACGTTTTTATTTTTATTTTATTTTATTTATTTTATTATTAATTACAACGGCTGCCCCACCTTTCAAACCGAAACGCATTACTACTTCACGGCAGAAATAGGCAGGGTGGTGGTACCTACTCGCGCGGACTCTTAAGAAGTCCTACCACCAGTAAAGACGGTACAGTCAATATACAATAAATATGAAACTTCGACGTCAAGGTTCAAGGTGAGCAAACATTTTGCTTCCTTGTAGCCACATAGTATCAGGTGGGCCGTTTACCCATTTGGGACTATTTATTTGGAGCAACAGAAAATAAAAAATACCATAACATATTTAGCGTTAACAGTATTTATTTCCTAAAGTCAAAAAGAATCGTAATTGTTTTTTAAAATTGTCAGATATGAATACACACACAGGTAACATAATATGGGTATAATAATAAAAAATATGTGTAAAAACAAAATTGGAAGGCTCAAAGTAAAGCAAAAGCAGTTGAAGGACATGCGAGAACGTGTTTCTTGGTCTTTTATCTCCATTTCTTGGAGCTTATATTACAGCCGTATCTATTTCTCGTTAATGACTGCTAGAATTATTTTTTCTAATGTAATAATGGTTAAGTATGAATAATAATATCACCATTGATTTCTGAAAAAAACCACTAAAAAAACAGTTTTATGTTTATGAATTTTTATTTACTTAGTTCATACATAGGCGTTGGTAATCTTAACCTCAGATGTTTGGAATATTAAATACTCGAAATTTTTAAAAAGGTATCATTTTTATACCGAATATTTACTTTTTCAGAGCTACCAATATTTGTTCAGTGACAACGAATTGAATGAACCAAATAAATATCTGTGAGATACCCGTGTATGAATAACGGGTATCTTTATCAAAACTGCATTTTAGTAAACTTGTTCTCGGCGAAGTTAACAACGTTGATATATTACACAAAATTTTCAAATTGTTTTTTAACCAATTAAACCTCGCATTTATTGTTTCTGACGTTCCGAATACTTTACAGTTTTAACGGACGTCTGATGCTCGAGATCAAACCGTAAAATTAGTTTTAGTTGTATCCAAGACTCGCCTAAGCCGAATAAATGGGACGGTGGGATGGATGTAATGTGCTCTGCGTCAATCCTGTCCCGCCGTCTCAATAGCCCCGACTGAGCTCCGGCGCGGTCTGAGGTAGGGCGCCGGTTGTGAGCGGCAGGAGTTTTTAGTGAGGTTCAACTCCCACATACCCCACCTGCCGCGCGGGTGGGGATTCGGTGATTTTCTCCTGTGGAAAAAAAAAGCCGAATAAATAACGATGTTGATCGAATTTCTCATTTAAGGTAATGCGCATGAACAATGGTGCTTTAGGAGACACGACGGTCGGGAAAGTAGTCAATATACTTTCAAACGACCTGCAAAGATACGACAATGCCTTCATATTCTTGCATTTCGTTTGGATCATACCCATACAGTTGGTTGCTGTCTGCTATCTGGGCTACCTTCAAGCTGGTGTTGCAGCTCTCATTGGCTTAGCTTCCCTTGTTGTCATAGCACTCCCTATTCAAGGTAATATTTAACAATATATTTATTTTTGAATGTCCTTGTTTGGAACGGTCTATCACGTTCATGAATGAACTCTAATTCATTTTTGCTAAAATTAAAAATGTCTCGTAGGTGTGCTCGGAAACATTGTGGGAAAAGTTCGCGCCCGGAATGCTGTAAAAACCGATGAGAGGATCAAATTAATGAGCGAAGTCATTAGCGGCATTCAGGTTTGTAAGCGTATTTATACTACATACCAATCATGATGTTTAAGTATTTTTTTATGGCGTGACCAGACTCCATATTATACGAGTAAGTGTGGAAATCTAAACGTGTAGAGAGAGAGAGAGAGAGAATACACTTTATTGCACACCAAAACAGAATTTACATTCAAAAACAGTCAATAAGCATTTGTACAATAGGCGGTCTTATCGGTAAAAGCGATCTCTTCTAGACAACCGTTTAATTTAGAGAAATTCCGGAAAATATAAATATACGTGCATTGCATTATTGAAACGAGTATGTCGATGCGAGTATGAGTAAGAAGCAATTAATTGAAGTCGTCGTGGCCTAAAGGATAAGACGTCCGGTGCATTCGTGTTGAGCGATGCACCGGTGTTCGAATCCCAGGCGGGTACCAATTTTTTTTTTCAAATTTTCACGATTGACTTCGTCGGTGAAGGAATAACATCGTGTAATAAAAATCAAACCCGCAAAATTTTCATTTGCGTAATTACTGATTTGCGTAGGACCTCTTGTGAGTCCGCGCGGGTAGGTACCACCACCCTGCCTATTTCTGCCGTGAAGCAGTAATGCGTTTCGGTTTGAACGGTGGGGTAGCCGTTGTAACTATACTGAGACCTTAGAAATAATATTTCAAGGTTGGTGGCGCATTTACGTTGTAGATGTCTATGGGCTCCAGCAACCACTTAACGCCAGGTGGGCTGTGATATCGTCCACCCATCTAAGCCATAAAAAATAAATAAATAAAATGTATAATGACATAAATGACCTCAAATGTAACGACAAAATACTAACAACATATTAAAAAAAAAAAATATGTAAAGAGGGCGTTAGATTAGATAAATTTTGCCTCTGCAATTACCTCCGGCTTAATATCTGGACAAAGTTTCAGTAGAATATGAGAAAAATTACTGCCAAACATGACGTAGTGCACAAGGTGAAGTGGACGATTAAAATATGGGCTTATGACAGAAGCCCCATGTGAGACCAATAAAACAGAATATTGTTTTGCTTTCTGCTTGCTTATACGAGTATATTCGTAGATGCGTCCTTATTATTGATTAACAAGCCGTTTAAGATAACGAGATAAGATTGTGAAATTTAATTTTTTGTTGTGACGTGCTCAATCTGTTCCAATTACTGACCGCCGTTACATTTGGCATGTGGATAACACCAGACATCCATGCGTTTATGAACGAGACATAAGACACAAAAACTTATTCGAATTACACTTAATCAAACATGTAAACGTTTTAAAACATTCGTTTTTTTTTTTTAATAAAAGTAAATATTGGGACAATAAAATAAACAGATCTCTTCTATTTCTCTGCACCTTGAAACTATGTAGGCGAGCACCAAGGGCGGATTCAGCTTTGGCGCCAGGAGGGGGTCACATAGTCAAATTTAGATGCGTTCGTTCCCAAACGTTTGCCATTATACAAAGTTATTATATTATTATATTAAATTAATTAAATATTGAAGGTATGTAGTTACATAAAATCTGTATGGTGAAAACTATATAAATAAAATCATTATATTCAATTAGTGGTCCACCTAAGTCCTGGAACCAGCCCAGGGGGTGGTCATGACCCCCATGCCCCCCCCCCCTGGATCCGCCACTGGCGAGCACATTTTTGTATAACACACATTTATATACGTGTGTTTTACATACATACAATGATGTATTATCGTGGATTTATTAATTGATGAACTTCGATCAACAATAGTTACTATTGTTGATCGAAGTTGATGAACATAATTATGTATGTCATCTTAATTGACACTATAGCCGTACACACAATACACCGTTGTTTTATTTATTTAGGCCAATGAAATTTTTAATAATGTCCCTGAAAAATAATGCATTACGTTTGTTTAGGTGATCAAAATGTACGCATGGGAAGTACCGTTCCAAAAATCGGTGGCTGAGAAACGTAGCGACGAGCTAAAAGAAGTCCGTACAGCGACTATACTGAGAACCATATTCCTTGGCTTCATGATATTCACAGAGAGAGCTGCACTTTTCATAACAATACTTACTTTTATATTATTGGGTAATGCATTAAGTGCCACTGTGGTAAGTACTCTGAATCTACTGTTACTACGCCCTATCTATATATTAATACGTGAAGCAAAAACTTTGTACCCCTTTTTACGAAAATTGCGCGGACGGAGGAGTATGAAATTTCTGACACTTATAGAGAATATAAAGAAGGAGTGCACAATGCTAATATTTTTTTTAAATAATGCATAAAATATACTTTAAATCAATAAAGAAAACATTACGCACATTACCATGTATTTGACACAACACATACAAAAAATATACTCTTTGTTTACTGTCAATTGGGAAACTTTTGTTATTGTTTAAACTCTGTGGTAAAATTTAAAATAGATTAATATTGTTTGTCTTTAATATTATTGATTTATAGTGCAGTTTTGGCGAATACTGGGATTATATTATCGAAATATAATAGTGTTTGACAATAGAACCATAATAATGTTCAAACTTATAATTTCAATTAATTATAGTCGAATCTCGACTACTGCGGGGCCACTAGTACTAATAAAATCGTGAACTCTTTCTAGGTTTATTTGAGTATTATCTACACAATGTTGTATGTAACAGCAACTATGTGGTTTTCTGAGTTATCTTACAGTACATACTATATATACAGATGCTACATTTATTGTTTGCTAAGCTGAAATTGATCCCCAAAGAAAATTTATCAGCACTGGCAAACAGCTGTATTCAAAATCTGACCAATTTTAAAAATAAATTCTTATGCCTACCTGAGTTGTATTTATTTAATAAGACGTAATTTCTTGTGCTCACAATTATCGGAAATGTATTTTAATTATTGATCGATTACAACCGTAGCTATTTTTTTTTATTGCCTTTGTAGGCAGACGAGCATACGGCCCACCTGATGGTGAGTGGTTACCGTCGCCCATGGACTTCAGCAATGCCAAAGGCAGAGCCAAGCCGCTGCCTACCGCGTAATACTCTCCACAAGCCTCGTTTGAAGAAGGACATGTCATATTATTTTAGATATTAATTACACAATGTTAAAAATAGTAACTATTTTTAGATTTATCCCTTACAACAATTCATGAACGCTGCACAACTCAATATCACATTGATTCTACCTCTCATTCTGACTTTCACGGCCGAATTAATGGTGTCTCTTCGACGAGTTCAGGAGTTTCTCGTCGCAGGTAAATAAATTTAATTAAGAGAGTTCGCTTTAGGTGTAATTCATTATTAATTTTAAAATCAGAATAACTTTTTTTTTTTTTTTTAACGCTGGGGAATCGATTTACGGATACTCGGTCGAGGGGGGTAACGGACCGGGTTATGTCGGACTCCGGCGCCTCCTGAGAGGAAGAAGGGGAGAATACCTAAAACCGCTGTAACCCTTTCATAGAGCACACTTCTAACCGGACACCTTCTATCCGGGCGGGTATCAATTTTTCTAATGAAATACGTAGTCAACAAATGTTCACGATTGACTACAACGGTGAAGGTAAAACATCGTGTAATAAAAATCATACCCGCAAAAATATAATTTGTGTAATTACTGGTGGTAGGACCTCTTGTGAGTCCGCACGGGTAGGTACCACCACCCTGCCTGTTTCTGCCGTGAAGCAGTAATGCGTTTCGGTTTAAAGGGTGGGCCAGCCTTTGTAACTATACTTGAGACCTTAGAACTTATATCTCAAGGTGGGTGGCGCATTTACGTTGTAGATATCTATGGGCTCCAGTAACCACTTAACACCAGGTTGGCTGTGATATCGTCCACCCATCTAAGCAATAAAATAAAAAATAAAACAACCTAGCACTTTTTTCTCTAAAACTATACTAGTTTTAGTTCAATGAAAATCTAGCTAATCGAAAAGATAGTTTAAAAATACAAAATTCAACTCAAAAAGCAACATTTATTGCAGCGTGTTCATAAAAACGCGATAAAAACGTTTATTTCCACATTTCTTATGTAACGTAACCTAGTTATCAAACACGGAAGAAATTTCGTGTTATTAATTATGTTATTATGTATTTGCGACAAAACTGTTGATTATGTTATAGTTGTAGATAGATAGAAGCCCTCAGTGATCAGCTGGCATTGGATAACATTGAGATTGCGCCTCTCTCTTTAGGACAAGAGGTCAAAGTCAGAATTTTATTTTATAACGGCTGTTCCATCATTCAAACCAGAGGCATGACTGCTTCGCTTCATAGAGGATATAGGCTTAGTGGGGGTAGGGCGTCTTGTGAGTAACGCAGCCACTGTAATTTAGAACTGAGATTTTAAATTCAAACCTCAAGGTGGGTGGCAAACTTTAGGTTGTTGATGCCTATGGGCTACGGTAAGCACTTAACAGCCTCCAGGTCGCAAGTACGTTCACGTACATCTCTATATATAAAAATGAATTGCTGTTCGTTAGTCTCGCTAAAACTCGAGAACGGCTGGGCCGATTTGGCTAATTTTGGTCTTGAATTATTTATGGATTTCCAGAGAAGGTTCAAAAGGTAGATAAATATGAAAATGCTCGGAATTAAATAAAAATAACAATTTTGTTTCTCCTTTGATGTGTCTCCCGTCGGACGGATCCTTTTTTTTTTAGTTTAGTTTATTTTATACAAAAGTTTAGGTCTTTTATTTATCGATTGAGGCATTACGAAGTCTGCCGGGTCAACTAATAAGCAATAAAAAAGGCTGCAGGATGGTATCTGCTCGTGTGGAGTCAAAATACACTCTGCAAATAAAAAAGTTATTAGTTTGACAAAGCTAACTTCTATACTGTTATTCAAATAAGTCCAATTTAATTACTTGCTTAGCATTTTTTATTGTCATTGTAAGCACATGGCCTAAGTAATAATAAGTAGCCAATGACGCTCGTAAGCAGCCCTTTCGCTGCCTACCGTCTAAATTTATTTAACGTATTAATTACCATTGTATATACTGTAGAAATTGCTGTTCCACATATGTTGTGATGTTTTTTTAAGACCTTTAAGTCATTTTTTTCATTCATTTCTTCATTAATTTTAATCTATATTCTTATATTTATAAAAAAAATGATAATATGAAGTAAAATAAAATTAAATGAAATGAACATGATTAATTTGAGACATTAATCAACTGGGATGAAATTAAATGAACTGAGATGAGATGACATGGGATGAAATATTCTCAGTAAAATGGTGGTCATTTACTGAGATTTTTTCAGTGGACTTTTTGGAGGACCCCGAGAAGTTACGTCCAGTGGCTTTGTTTCATTTTCCCACATTTGTGCACTTTCACAGATATTAAACAGTTAATAAACCACCGTTATTACACATTTTAACCCGAAGAAACACTAAATAAACAAAATAAAACAAATCACACAACTTCACCTCTCGCGTTCCCGCCAAAATGTGATGTTGTAATTATAATATACCGCCCAAATGGTTTATCAGCCTACGATATTTTGCAGAGGATCGGCCAGATTTAGTGAAGCGAGATTCATTGGCGCCTGCTGGTTCGAACATATTCCGTAATGTAACTGGAAGTTTCCGTAAATCTGAGCCAACTGTTAGACCGCTATCGTACAGCCAGAAAACCGAAATATTACCTACCGAATTCAACTCTAGCAACAGTGAGTATATTGAATCTATATCTCTCTACATCAATCGAGTGGTACACTCTGTTGGTAGTGTCATTTTACGGAAAGGTGATAAGGTAGAAAATATAGAACGGTAGTAGGACACAGAACAAATTACAGCGCGATTGTAATTTGTAGCACATCTTATCTTTAATTTTTTTGAACATTTTCATTGAATAAATGCATATTTTTTTCAGATCTGGTAAAACGTAACAATTCAAAACTCTTAAGACGCATGTCTCATCTGGACGACACGGCCGTGGTGTTACACGATGTCTCCGCTAGCTGGACAGGCGACCCAAATTTCTTAGCTATCAAGAATATCTCAATGAAACTCCGCAAAGGGAAACTATGCGTTATCATTGGCGCCGTCGGGTCTGGGAAGGTATTCAGACTATTTCAATCACGGCCTCGTTCTGTAGAATGCTTACATAAAACGTTTTATTGCCTCGTGTCGTTGAAATTGGTGTTTAATAAAAAAAAAATGCTTAGATGAATAGTGTCTATAGATCTCGACAACGTAAATGCCGCCACCTACCTTGAAATAATATCTCTAATTGTAAGTTTAAGTTTTACAGTACAACGGAAGCGTCAGAAATAGGCAGAGTGGTGGTACCTGCCCGTGCAGGCTCACAAGACCCCGTAACACCAGTAAAACATTTCAAAACATTTCACAAGTTTCATCATTGTAAAGAATAGTGTTGATTGATAAGGTATACTATATTCATTTGAGCATTATAATGCACATAGTTTATTTGAAATACGTAGATCAATTTTTATGCTACGTAATTGGCTAAAGAATAACATGGCCAGTGTTGTCACATCGAGAGATGCAATTGTGCTCATCACCATAGAAGTGTGCACTTTCATTATAATCATATACATTTATGTAGTTTTATTTATTAAAAAATATTATATACGTACAATGTTATCAAAAAAGTCAGGACATATTTTATGTTCATAAATTAAAATAGCAATTTTTTTAATTAACGGAATGTCCTGATAGCCATTGTTGCTTGTGTTTTTCAGTCTTCAATTCTGCAACTGCTCCTAAAGGAATTGCCTCCGGCCACTGGCACAGTTTCAATCTATGGAAAGGTTTCGTACGCCAGCCAAGAGGCGTGGCTTTTCCCTAGTACCGTCCGGGAAAACATACTTTTCGGTTTACCCTTTGAGCCGGAAAAATATAAGATGGTGAGTCAATATTTTCTTATTTGCATTTAATTTTGCTAGCTTTATTAAATGCGGATAGAGTACAAACATATTTGTGGCTTGTTTTCTTCAGAAGCTAGTACTGGCGAATTAATGCCTGCCGATATTAAATGCTGAACTGAAACATAGATGAAGTCATGATTCACAATGAAACAAATCTACTTCTATACTAATATTATAAAGAGGAAAGATTTGTTTGTTTGTTTGTTTCGAATAGGCTCCGAAACTACTGGACCGATTTGAAAAATTCTTTTTCCATTAGAAGCCGACATTGTCCCTGATGAACATAGGCTACTTTTTTTTATTTTTTTTTATTTTATTTTTTTGGTTTCATGTGTGTTTTAATGTTTCCGAAGCGAAGCGAGGGCGGGTCGCTAGTATGTTTATTAATCAAGAAATTTAATTTCGTTTTGTAGGTTTGCAAAGCATGTGCATTGGAAAAGGACTTTAAACAATTCCCATACGGAGACCAGACGTTGGTGGGAGAGAGAGGGGTGTCACTATCGGGAGGACAGCGGGCCAGAATCAATTTAGCTCGTTCTGTCTACAGAGAGGTAAATTGATTTCATGTTTGTTGCAGAAAAACCAATCCAATTTTAATAAAAGCGAAACTGTGTTACCGTTACCATTTTTATAAGCTTGATAAATATCTGATATTGAAAAATAGAATATTGGAAAAAAAATCTCTTATATCTTATTCAATCCTCGACATTATTGTGAATACATTTAAGGGAATATGTGGTCATCCATATTCCCTTAATAGGTCATCATCATCAGTTTCTCTTATTTGATTAAAATTAATAATTCATTTCTAATTCAGTCTATAGACACATTTTAAAACAATTTCGTTCCAAGGAAAACTCGAAGTTTTTTCAACGAATTCCTCATTAAAATACTCGGCTCCAGTAAGCAATAGCGAACTGTTTTATCGTAGGAAATATTTTATAATGTCGCACAAAGGCACGTAAGGCAAGCCACGACGCTCAAGTTCCTTGAATGAATCTAGTTCTATATTTAGACGATAGCTTAAGTTGTTTGCATTCCATAGATTATAGTTATGTGTCGTTTAAATTTTCATTCCTTTATATAAAGTATATCATCTAAAGAGTAATCGCTTTTTTATCTTTTTCAGTAGCGTAGAATTTGGGCTGAGAATACTTACAACCACCTTTCAAAAAATAAACTCCCTCGCTAATTTCGATGAGTCTTCAAAAGAAAACCTATTTTTAGTTAGTCTCTCCTTCCTGATGTATAGTTGAAAGCAAGTGAGAGCTTCCGTTTGCGTTTCATTCATATTATCGTATTCGATTTGATTGTTTAAGAAATTGCTATTATTATTGTGTATGTAGGCCGACATCTACTTACTGGACGACCCGCTATCTGCAGTTGACGCGAATGTGGGGAGACAGCTTTTTGAAGGCTGCATAAATGGATACCTTCGACAACGCACGAGGATACTTGTCACGCATCAGATACACTTCCTCAAAGCTGCTGACTACATTGTCGTCATGAACGAGGTTTGGAAATGCATAAAAGTTTTAACTATCATTGTATTTTTTTCTGGCTGTAAACATGAATGGGCAGGCACTAATAGACAGCCTACTTCTGCCGCGAAGCAACACAGTTAAATTAAGCGCATCGGTGCGACATCAATGGGTTCCAATAACGAATTATCACCGGATGGAACTAGACCTTATTCACGCCTAGATGGGTGCTAAAGAAACACCAAAGAAAAGTAAAACGAATTTGAAATTCATTTAAATGCTCAATGTCGTTTTTGATTTAATTAGTAAGATTATAGGAATAATAGTTTAAATTGCTACTGCATTTCATTTTAATATAAAAGAATCGACGCATAGACTTAAGGTTTTCCGAAGAAAATCGCTTTGAAATTTATTTTGAACCTTTAGGGCCGCATCGAGAACATGGGAACATTCGATGAGCTCACCGCCGCAGGCAAGGCATTCTCCTTGATGTTATCTTCGCTACAAGAAAACAAAGAAAAAGACACCGAAAGCTTGGGATCACGGGTGAGTATAATAACAAGATATTCCTTTGCTTTGTTTACTTGAATACACTCGGTAAATACACGCGGGATGTGTAAATATGAAACATGTGCGTTGTTACAATTATTATGCAATTAGTTTTGAATTGTACGTTATCGTCTGTGCATATATGTAATATTTATTATTCTTGTGATTAAATTATGGTTAACTCGAATGATATACAATTTAGATCAAAATATTTAAACCAGCGGTCGGGGAACTTTTTTAATTATTACCCCAAAATATTTTTGTGTAAGTTGATATTACCCCATGGAGAAGAACAAAAAAAAAAACGAAATCGCTTCTTTTTAGCATCTTTCATATTATAGCCCCCATGATAATTTGAAATCACAACGATTCTAAAGAAGTTTCACTTCAATATATATTTTTTACTCACTAAAGTTTCATTTTACCCCATTTGGGGTAATTTACCCCGGTTCCCCGACCGTTGATTTAAACTGATTTAAAAAATACTAATCTACATAAATTAAAAAGATTGTTTCTTTGTATATTTGCCCTCTATGCGTTCGTAGATAATATTGTAACTTAAAATACTTGTTGTTGAAGAGGTAAGGTTTTTGTTATAGTAACACCAACGACACTCGTGGTAGGTGATTAGATTTTACTGGTGGTAGAACGTCGCGTGAGTCCGCGCGGGGGGGTACCACCACCCTGTCTATTTCTGCCGTGAAGCAGTAACGTGTTTCGGTTTAAGGGATTGTAGATCTCTATGGGCTACAGTAATCACTTAACACCAGGTAGGCCGTGAGCTCGTCCACCCAATTAAGCAATATAAAAAAAAAACATGGTAGCCAAAATGATTATGCCATTATGAATACAGTAGTTTTGAAATTTGTCAAGTATTCAACACGCAGGTACGGGTATTATTAACACTTATATAGTATTAATATCCAGAGTATTAATATTCATATATAATTATATTCTAAGTAAAAGTATGTTATCTTTTTAAGTACAATTACGCAAATAGAACATTAAAAAATGATATACTCTCGAAAGTGGGACTTTAGCGTCTAATAAAATAAAGTGACATCATAAAACTTGAAGATAGCCATTTAATCGCGAGAGATTTTCCTCTATACTATAACTAATGTTCATGTTTCAAAGAAACCCTATACGTACTTCGTGTCGGCGCTATAATGGCAGACTTAGTTTTTGTTATCCGATTAATTCCATCATAAAATGATTACAACAATAAATTGACATGAACTTTAGAATTGTTTGTCGAATATTTCTTACGAAACATGTCCTGCGGTTTCGGTCGCGTTTAGCTGTTTGTAACTTGGAAAAACTTAGAAATAATTTACCTCGCTATTTTTTTTGTTATAGTTGATTTTCATCATGTAACTAATCGTGATAAACATATCTGAGCCCTCATAAATGACCTATGTTGGTAATTTTATTTCATTTTCATTTAATTCTGTTCCGCTAGTTACGCCGTCCATTGAAATGTAAAAATATCCAAATTTTTACTGGTGGTAGGAGCTCTTGTGAGTCCGCGCGGGTAGGTACCACCACCCTGCCTATTTCTACCGTGAAGCAGTAATGCGTTTCGGTTTGAACTGTGGGGCAGCCGTTGTAACTATAATTGAGACCTTAGACCTTATATCTCAAGGTGAGTGGCGCATTTACGTCATAGATGTCTATAGGCTCCAATAACCACTTAACACCAGGTGGGCTATGAACTCGTCTTCCGATATAAGCAATAAAAAAAAAATAATAATTACGTTTTCTTTTCAATCCTAATGGATTTGCCAGGAGGGAGTTATCCTTTGTCGTAGTCTCAGTTAGATTAGAAAACAACTTTACCGCTCTCCAGATGTTATTATGGATATTATTATCGGTTATATCGAAATACGGTTATTAGATGTTCACTAGTATTCAAATTGGAATTCAGTTCTGAGGAAGCTAGTTTAAGATAGTATAACGTATTAAATAGCCATTTTAAAATTTACTTGTGGCGCCGCTATTAAGACGATCATCTTTGATTGTTTTTTTTTAGGGCAAAGAAGAAAAAGAAAATCCGGTTTTATTTAAAAATCAATTATCTATAAATGAGACTGATGATTTAGAGCAATTTGAAGCTCAGAAGATGGCCGACGAAGAGCGCCAGTCCGGTAATCTAAAGTGGTCAGTGATCGCGGCATACTTCCGAGCTGGAGGAAACATCTGTTTTTTGTTGTTCACCTTTTTGCTGATCATCCTGACAGCGGCTTCCTCGGCTGGCGCTGACTACTGGATCAGTTACTGGTAAACATTATTATAAGTATCTAGTTTGAGTCGATTATTCTTTAAGCTTGGATTATATCATGTTTTAAAGTCGTCGTGGCCCAACGGATAAGACGTCCGGCGCATTCGTGTCGAGCGATGCACCGGTGTTCGAATCTCAGGCAGGTACCAATTTTTCTAATGAAATACGTACTGAGAAAATGTTCACGATTTACTTCCACGGTGAAGGAATAACATCGTGTAGTAAAAATGAAACCCGCAAAATTATAATTTGCGTAATTACTGGCGGTAGGACCTCTTGTGAGTCCGCGCGGGTGGGTACCACCACTCTGCCTAATTTCTGCCGTGAAGCAGTAATGCGTTTCGGTTTGAAGGGTGGGGCAGCCGTTTTAATTATACTTGAGACCTTAGAACTTATATCTCAAGGTGGGTGGCGCATTTACGTTGTGGATGTCTATGGGCTCCAGTAACCACTTAACACCAGGTGGGCTGTGAGCTCGTCCACCCATCTAAGAAAAAGAAAAAAAAAAAAAAGGTACTTGCTAGATACTATTTTTTTAATGACTTATCTAAATACTACTTTAAAATTCACAGTTTATTTTTTTAGTATTCAGCAACTACATTTATATATAATAAATTTATATACTCGTAATATTTTTTAGGACGAATGCAATGGCAGCGTATGACGAAGAGTTAGCAGGTGCTGAAGTGGGTAAGTACACAAAACTATCTAGTTTCTAAGTATGTAAAATCACAATAAAATACAAAAAAAAATATTTTTTTAACTTTTCATGTTTCAATGTATGAAATGTTTCAGGATAAAATTCAGAATAAGCTTTAGTGTTAATGTTTTTTTTTTTTTTTTCTTAGATGTGTGGACGAGCTCACAACCCACCTGGTGTTAAGTGGTTACTGGAGCCCATAGACATCAACAACGTAAATGCGCCACTCACCTTTGAGATATAAGTTCTAAGGTCTCAAGTATAGTTACAACGGCTGCCCCACCTTTCAAACCGAAACGCATTACTGCTTCACGGCAGAAATAGGCAGGGTGGTGGTACCCACCCGTGCGGACTCACAAGAGGTCCTACCACCAGTAATTACGCAAATTATAATTTTGCGGGTTTCATTTTTATTACACGATGTTATTCCTTCACCGTGGAAATCAATCGTGAACATTTGTTGAGTACGTATTTCATTAGAAAAATTGGTACCCGCCTGCGGGATTCGAACACTGGTGCATCGCTCAACACGAATGCACCGGACATCTTATCCGTTTGGCCACGACGACTTCTGTATGTAGTATGTTAATAGGTATCAATTTTTTGAACGCCGCACGTTTAAATAGTCATAAATAATGTGTGCCCGAAAGTATTCAATTCTCAGAAAGCCGTTCAACAGTGATCTTGTTAAATTTCTTTAAAGTTCTTTAATTTTATAATTATCATTATAGAGCTTAACAACGATTGTTACTGAAAACGCCTCATATATTTTTATATCTTATCGAACTTATTCCCCATGTTTATATTATAAATCATCTTTGAATAAGTATATATTAATTAGCCCACCACTATGTCACAGTAATTAAGATACTTTCACAAAATAATTTACTAAAAGTTTTTGTACTTAATTATCAATAACAGGTAGTTTCCAAGCAGGTACTTTATTTATCTTACACGTCGGAACTATGAAACTAGTACAATTGATAAGTAAAATTAGGTATTTTATGGATAAAATATAAAATAAAACACATTTAGATAAGACACGATATCTAAACCAGGTTAGATTATTAGTATTAAATAACAATGACGATTTTAAGATACGATCAATTTTTATGCGGACCCTACTATTTTTAATTCCAGAATATATTGCGTAAATTAATATTTATTTAATTTCTATTCATTATGTGTTTTGCAGCCCTACTGAGATATGCAATCAAAGTGCAGTGCCGGAAATCACTTGACCATTATAATGCTACTTTGAAATACTCGAAGTGGAGTGAATCGTAGGCTAAAAGATAAGACAGTTCAAATCGGAGTTTAAGTCACTTTTCTAAACCGTTTCACACCTAAGAAGTGCGCATGAACGATTTTCACGAATACAAAATAATATCATGTAATAATCTCGGATTTTTTTTAAATTTTAGTTATTATTGGTAGAAAAAGTATCACAGATAGGTACTGTCTTATTTCCCCACGAATAGGTACTGTCTTATTTCTACCGCAAATCAGTTCTGCATTTCGATTTGAACGATGGCTAAAACTTAATAGAATAAATACAGTTGAGATTTCGACCTCATGTTTCGAGGTAGGTGACGGCATTTTTGATACATCATTGATCTCTGGGCCCTAGTAATCATTCAGATTTAGTGCGATAATCATAATAATTACGTTTACAAGTAATTATGCTTACATTAAATCTTAATGTTAGTATTGCAAATTCCATGCTTATCTATATATTAATACGTGAAGCAAAAACTTTGTATCCCTTTTTACGAAAATTGCGCGGACGGAGGAGTATGAAATTTTCCACACTTATAGAGAATATAGAGAAGCAGTGCACAGTGCTGTAATTTTTTGTTTAGATAATGCATAAAAGATACATTAAATCAATAAAGAAAACATTACACACACTACGTACCATGTATTTGACGCACACACGCATGCATACTATTTATTGTCCAACTATTGTTCTTGACGTCTGTTGTCAAATTGAGAATAGATAAAATATTGTTTGTCTTTGTTAATATATTTTATAGTGTAGTCTTGGCGAAATTTGTGATTATAGAAGAATAAAATACAATCACAATAGTGTACAAACTTACAGTTCCAATTAATTATAGTCGAATTTCGACTACTGCGGGACCTCTAGTGTATAACAATTTTATGTAAATGTCATACATAATATGTATATGAACGTTGAGAATACAAATTAATTATCTTCAAAATTTGCAGATACTGGCCTAGATGTTCAAGTGGGACTGTTCACGACCGGCCAATATCTCATGATTCACGGAGCCATAGTATTAGTTACGATTTTCATAACCAATATAAGAGTTATTCCTTTCGCGGAGTTGTGCGTCACCGCTTCGAGTAGACTCCACAACAGCATGTTCTCCACAATGATCAAAGGCATCATGAGGTTTTTCGATACGAGCTCTTCAGGTAATTCTGTAAATTTTTTTTTATTGCTTAGATGTGTGGACGAGCTCACAGCCCACCTGGTGTTAAGTGGTTACTGGAGCCCATAGACATCCACAACGTAAATGCGCCACACACCTTGAGATATAGTTCTAAGGTCTCAGTATAGTCACAACGGCTGCCCCACCCTTCAAACCGAAACGCATTACTGCTTCACGGCAGAAATAGGCGGGGCGGTGGTACCTACCCGTGCGGACTCACAAGAGGTCCTACTGCCAGTAATTACGCAAATTATAATATTAGCTTCTAATATAACAATTGTTTATGAGTGCGTTTTGTGTTTTGCCTCTTGATGTTTCTTTAGTTCTATGACATGTCATTCTTTTCTCATTGAGGTATGAAAAAGTCCTGAGCGGTAGGCAGAGACTCAGCAATGCTGGTAGTATTACTGATGTCCTATTTTTTTATTGCATAGATGGGTGGACGAGCTCACGGCCTGCCTGGTGTTAGGTGATTACCGGAGCCCATAGACATCTACAACGTAAATACCGTCACCCACCTTGAGATATGAGTTCTCAGGTCTCGGTATAGTTACAACGGCTGCCCCGTCCTTCAAACCGAAACAGGCAGGGTGGTGGTACCTACTCGTGCGGACTCACAAGAGGTCCTATCACCAGTATAGTACCACCATATATAGTTTCGAGACATAAACAAGTACGCCCAAATCCCGAGTAGCAACGGATATCTTTCAGATGGTACTTACTGTTCTCAGCCTAAATCTGAACCTGGAGTGCTTTAACAATTACACGAATGAAGCGGTGATATTTTATTATCATTAACTAAGACGTGTTTTGTTTTTTTAAATTATGTCAATTTTATTCTTAGGGCGTATTCTCAATCGTTTCACTAAGGACATGGGAGCTTTGGACGAGATATTGCCGAGGACTCTGTTGGATGTGCTTCAAATCTACGCCACTCTTGGAGCTATTCTCGTTTTGAACGCAATCGCACTGTATTGGACATTGATTCCTTCTGTTATACTTCTGACTTTGTTCTACTTCTTTGTCAAAGTCTATCTTAAAACCGCACAAAGCATTAAAAGATTGGAGGGAACAAGTAAGTAAAGTATAAGCATTATAATTTTATTATGCACTAGCTTTTGCCCGCGACTTCGTCCGCGTGGAATAATTCACAAATAATGCTTTATTTTAGAACAAATTTGGTTAGCATAAAAAACACTATAGTGAGCCAACCTTAATATATAGACACATGTTGTCGCGAACTATTCTTAGATCTTTTAAAGAGGAACAATTCTGTCATACATTATTTTAGCGAAACTTTAACCGTTTCTGCAGCGCACGCAGCGGAAGCTCTCAATAGGGAAAAAACCCGATTTTGAAACATTCTTTATTGGTGCTCCACTTGTATTAGTTTTAGCGTGATGTTATATAGCCTATAGCGTTCCTCAATAAATGGGCAATCTAACACTGAAATAATTTTTCAAATCGGACGAGTTAGTTCCTGAGATTAGCGCGTTCAAACAGACCAACTCTTCAGCTTTATAATATTATAGTATAGATTTTGTCATCTCAAATCTATTTCCTTGAATAATAAATAAAAAATGCATGTTGGATGCTTGGGTTTCTTGAATAAAACTCCCACAATCGATTTTGTGCTTGTATTTCCTTTATACAGTGTTTTTGATATTTTTTTACGTTGCGTACAAGTTAGCTTGGCACGGCCATTAATTGAAGTGTTTAAAAATTGTGTCGGTGAACATAAATAAAAATTTAACATTGCTCAGTAAAATTTCGTAGGCGTTAACATCCTCCCCCCGTTGAAAGTCGATTCTTCGGGTTTCAACCCTCTAGTTCTTCTGCGGTAGGCAAAGCACACAGACGAACCAACGGGCGGCGCACGCAGCCTCTAGAAGTATTGACGTCAGCGACTCGAGGTACTCCATCATTAGGACCATAAAATAGTCTGGATATGCGTCCAAGTCTCCAGCAGAGAGGAGGAACATCATCTTCTAGCAACAGTACCAAATCTCCTACATTTGGTTTTGAAGAATTGGTCTTCCACTTGTGGCGTTGTTGAAGCTCAGCAATATATTCACGCTGCCAGCGCTGCCAAAAATGTTGATATATTTGCTGTAATCGAGCGTAGCGTTGCAAATTATTGTAGTTGCAGTTTTCCAGCACAGGCGAAGGAAGAGCAGTGAGAGCCCGGCCAATGANGTCTGCAAGTCGTCAAATCGATTTGACAGTGACTCAAATTTGCTAAGCTTAAGTGTCAATTCAGCAAGTTCAAGAGAAGTTAGTGTTTCTTTTGAGCTTGTCTGAGTTAAATAGTTCCGAAATTTAGTTATTTGCCCCTTTATGGAGCTACGTTTAACAAAAAGATCCAGCAAATCTTGAGAGTCTTTTGCACTAGTTTCACCTACCATGATAAATAAAAATTATAAGTTTCTAATATATTAAGTAAAAGTTTGTAAATTAATTTAATATAATTATTATATGTAACTGGTAAAAGAAGCAATAAGAAAAGCAAAGTCTAGTACTACAGATAATGAAATGAATGCAAAAATAGAATTAAATCTGTTTAGTTAATTAATAAATTAAAAATATTAAAGTTATCTCACGCTCCTCGACTAGACGTAACCTGCACTGGAGTCCGGCCCTGCTGCACTCTCACCCGGAACCCTGGGACACAGCGGGGCTGAACTTCTTTATCGCAGCCAGTAGGTAACGTGCGAAGGCGCACCGTTTGTCTGGAATGTTCGGCTAAATTGTGTGAATTGATTGCAAAAACAACAATGCAAGAAGGGATAAAAAAAATAATTAATTAGGCACAGTGGGTATGCAGTTATTTAAAGAACTATCTAGCAAAATATGTAACTAGCGACAGTACCCGCTTATTGTTGGGTGGCCGTCCGCTTGTCTTCCTTTGTTAGCAATATAAATATAATTACTCAATTTAGAAAATAATAACGAAAATTAACACTTTTTTGGTTTGGATATTTTTATGATGTGGGTATGACTCACTATGGAAAAAACTAAAATGAATTGAAATATTGAAAACATAAAAAACACTGTACAATTAGCACAAGTACAGACTAATCGATTTGGGTAAATAGGAAAAATGTTATTGGAATTTAGGTTGGTGTGATTATATAGACGGGAAAGTAATGGGAAGGGCACTTAGCTGCATTGGCCTGGGCTGCGGCTCGATGCTGATTGCTGATCGATGACCGGCGATGGCTGCAATGGCTTGAGCTCCAAGATCCCGTGGATACAGTTGAGGACGGCAGCTGGTTTCGGCGAATACGTTTCTGACCGATACTATGACTTGACCATCCGATTGAAAAAATGTTCTTTTCCGAAGAATTTTGAAGGTCCTTTTGACGGTCGCCAGATGTTGGATGCTTGGGTTTCTTGAATAAAACTCCCACAATCGATTTTGTGCTTGTATTTCCTTTATACAGTGTTTTTGATATTTTTTTACGTTGCGTACAAGTTAGCTTGGCACGGCCATTAATTGAAGTGTTTAAAAATTGTGTCGGTGAACATAAATAAAAATTTAACATTGCTCAGTAAAATTTCGTAGGCGTTAACAATGCATCACCACCACATTTTCCTTCAGAATTACATTTCGTATTAAATGAAAACCAGCTGTTTTGTTCCACTTCACACATTTGCGTACTTTCTCAAATAATGCACTCTTAATAATCCGCTATAACATATTATTATCTAATGACATGGGCCCTAAGAAAAACTAATTAGTCAAAATGTAAAAAGAAACCTAAGATTACTGTGCACGTTCCAACCAAAAAGTGGCAACCTATTCTGACTGGTCTCTCAGGAGACAGTGCTTACTCTGTCTAGACACATAGACATACTGACTAAACATATAATATTTTGTATTGTAGCAAAAAGCCCGGTATTTGGAATGGTGACGTCATCGCTAAACGGTATAGCTACAATCAGGTCTTCGGGAGCGGAAGACCGATTAATCAGCAACTTCGATGTACTTCAGGTAGTTTGATTTAAGATACTGATTGGAAACAATAATCGGAATTTTGTAGTAAAACACCGGATTCGTATTGCTCGTTTAATTGTATTAATGTATACTAATATTATTAATCTATCTATATATTAATACGTGAAGCAAAAACTTTGTACAACTTTTTACGAAAATTGCGCGGACGAAGGAATATGAAATTTTCCACACTCATAGAGAATATAGGGAAGGAGTGCAGAATGTTAATATTTTTTTTAATTATGCATAAGAAATTCATTAAATAAATAAATAAAAACATTACACACTGCATGCACGCATGCATACTAATTGTTTATTATTTGTCTCTATTAATATTAGTCTAAAGTGTAGTCTTGGCGAAATCTGTGATTATAGAAATAAATAAATAGTCTTGACAATAGATCCGTATTAATGTTCAAACTTAAAATTTCAATTAATTATAGTCGAATTTCGACTACTGCGGGACCACTAGTATATACCCATATAAACGTGCATAGCTTCAGACAGCCGTCAACAAATTGGATAAATCTTTTTTTTTTGTTTTTGTTATTGTCAGAAGAAGGTTCATATGAAAAAAAAATGCGTGGGAAATTAGAAAATTTAAGAAAACTTATCCACCACATTAAATTTTCCAATGTAACCTTATAGCTTTTCACATAGCATTGACAGAATGTGTGTAGCAAATATCAGATTTAAGTATAAAAGAAAATTCAATAAAATCAATAATTAATTTTAGTCCTCGAAGCGAAGCGAAGGCGGGTCGCTAGGAATATACGTATATTTATTATTAGAGTTTAATGGAGCGGTTTTTGAGAACAAATACATAGTCTATTTGATGTGATAATAGTCTCCTCTATATCACTGCTTTTGTAACATCCGTCCATAAAAGTAGCAGCGGTATTTCCACGTTAATTTTCTCATCTAATTTTATAAACTCCTCGACCTAATACCGTTTAATAAAATTTGTTATTGGGTTTGCTGTGAGTGCACAGATTGATACAAATCTTCAACTTTAAAATTTTCAAATTCTAAGCACTGGTTATGAATATGATGTGAGCTCGGCTGCAAAGTGGTATGGCAATGAATACATCATACGTTCATTAATAAATTATCTATGTACGTCTACGTCGACTATATCACGTCATAAGATTATCACAGAATAGTATACAGAATAGAATAGTAAAATACTCTGAATGAAAAGATATGTAAAGAATAGATATGTATTTACATACGATACTGAAAATTTACAACAAAAGAATGTATGTAACCCTCATTTTCAGGACTTACATTCATCCGCCTGGAACGGTTACTTGGGCGGAGGCACCACTTTTGGTTTTTATTTGGACACGATGTGCCTCTTATATCTCACTACCGTTATTTTAGTGTTCATCTTTATAGACTTTGGTATGTGTTACTTTTTAATTTGTTTTAAAAATTGATTGACGCTTTTGCGATTTCGAGTGGTTACGGCAAGCCTAAAGGCAAATAATGTTTCCACCCATCAAGCTTATGTAGAATCACAGTTCTATTTTAATTGCATATATGGATGAACGAACTGCATTCAGTTTCATTCAGGCCCATCATCTGTTAAATGTGTACTGGAGTCTATAGACATCTCAATGTAAAACTCGCCTTAAGACGAGATTTCGCAGTCTCATTGTCTATCCCACCCCTTAAAATAGAACGCATTACTGATTTGCAGCAATAATAAACAGGACGGTAGTACGTTACTGGTCAATCGTGGAAGCTGTCCGCAAAATTTTCTTCTACTTACGTACTACCAACACAAGAGCGTACAGACTATTCCGTGTCAGTCTGAGCGACCTGCGAGACGCCTTCCGGGAATCGAAGGACGAATCAAAGAGGGGATTAGACAAGGAAATACTACTGCTGACTAGTTATGTCGAAGTAGTACTGGTATTAGTTTTAATTAGCTGCCGGAAAATCTTTCACCTAAGATCCTTTTAAACTTAAAAATGTCTTGACCGTTTCAAATGAGGAACAAAATATTTCAGGTAACGTCATTGCCGTGGGAAGTGTTGGTCTGGCAGTAACACAGAGTAACACGCTGACGGCCATGTTGCAACACGGAGCTCGGATGCTGGTAGAGTTCCTCGCCCAGCTTACCAGCGTCGAGAGAGTTCTAGAGTATACTAAAATTGAATCAGAGAAGAATCTTTTTGAAGGACGTAAGTATTAGGATGTTTTAATTTCATATTTAGTATGTAAAATGTTTATGTGAACTATGGTTGTCAGCGAGGTGTTTTTCGAGTCGTTAGGGCAACATCATTTTGTATGTTAATGTCCATAGCCCGCGATACTACTTACGAGCGCTAGGAAAATTTGTCGGCCTTCGTAAAAGTTTTTTTTCCTTTCAGAAAAACCGATGCCCCCAACTTGGCCGGCGCATGGAAGAATTATTATGGACAATGTCAGCTTACAGTACGCTCCCGAAGAAGAAGCAGTGCTGAAAAACCTCAACATCGTTATTGAAAGTGGATGGAAGGTACATAATTACAGAACAATAAGTAGTAATTATAATATTAAGTATTTATTTTACTTCGGCAGCTTTGGATTTTTAAACGCTTCGCTACACTCATTCACCATCAATACAATATTATCCGACATTTAATACTATCAAAACACAAGCATTAAATTACGACAAGGCGCAGAATTTGCAGACGCGTGACATTTATGTAAATTGAAACAATATTGAGACGTCAGCAGTTTTAGGAAATGTGTCTCCATGATTTCCTTCGTAGAAACGATTTAAAAATAGATTTTTACAGTTGCATTATTTCTACCAGTGAAAATATTATTTATATATAGAACTGTTTATTAATTGAAATATTACAGCATAATAATTATTAATGGATCTCATCATAATGTATTTGGTTCTCAAAAATCAAAGAGACCAGTTGTCAAGTAAATTTATGTAAATATTTTTACAATAGCTAGCCTGAGATCTTCGAGTACCGATCAAGAATAGAATCTAAACGCCAAGTTCTATAATATACATTTCAAATACCAAAACATTTTCAAACTCTGCAACCTCATATATGAGCAAACGATAAAAATCACCAATTCCTAAGATTTCTTGCGACGTCCAAATAACTACTAATGAATTAACGTGACAGCATTTAAGTTTTTTACGGGTCTATATATAAATTTAATTCTACAAAAGAATCGAATCAAAGTAATTACAAAATATAATACTGTAATTGTAAATTTAACTTCATCGCCATCTTTAATTCAAGAAGTATGAGTTGTCAAAGTTATCGAAAAAAATTATTACAGGTCGGTATAGTCGGCAGGACTGGAGCAGGAAAATCCTCACTGATATCCGCCTTGTTCAGATTCGCGTATATCGATGGCTCTATAACTATCGACGGGCTCGACACTTCTGTTATATCGAAACAGGTATAGCTTTACTATCCTCTATGAAATTAAAGTACTCGAATATTTCCATTAACGGACTGTTAATGAAATTTACAGGGACTCCGATCAAAAATCTCGATAATTCCGCAAGAACCGGTATTATTCTCTGCGACTATCAGATACAACTTAGATCCCTTCAGCGTGTACAGTGACGACGAGCTTTGGAGGGCGTTAGAACAGGTCAGAAAATAAACCATAAAATTATATTAATTTTTATTAACTAGAGTAGTTTTTCGGGTAAGAGAAACATTTACGTGGTTTTAGGTGGACATGAAAGCGGCCGTTCCTTCGTTGGATTTCAAAGTGACCGAAGGTGGATCTAACTTCTCCGTGGGCCAAAGACAGCTGATGTGCTTGGCACGAGCCATACTCAGATCCAATAAAATTTTAATTATGGACGAGGCCACAGCCAACGTTGATCCTCAGTGAGTTTTGTATCAGCTGACGCGCCAATTGTTGATAGGCTACCGAGTATATCTCTAAAATCTTTCTTCAATTTTCAGAACGGATAATTTCATTCAGCAGACTATACGGCGTGCTTTTGCTTCATGTACCGTATTGACTATTGCACATCGCTTGAACACGATCATGGATTCGGACCGAGTTCTGGTAATGAGTACCGGAGAGGTGGCAGAATTCGATCATCCATACATTCTTATGTCCGATCCCAATAGTCACCTTTCTAGTATGGTACGAGAAACGGGCGAGAAGAATAGCTTAAAGTTATTTGAAGTTGCCAAAGATGCGTATTTCCAAAGTAATCTGAAAGAAAACATGAGATGATGCTTTTATATAGAAGATCGTTAGTTTTAATTAAATAGCACTTTTAATAACCTACCGTTATGTCTATAACAGTCGAATCACAACACAATGGGTATCTTAAGTTTAGTTTAGATAGCCTAATTTATTAAGGGCGTTCAGCCTAATATTGAGATGTAATAAAATAAATTTACCAATCACGTTTTATTATTTATGAGCTCTATGCAGCCACGACGACAAAAATAACAAGTCTACTACCATATTTAACAAAATTTTGATACATACACTTCAAGTATCGTTTTTCATTTTATTTCACCAACACAAGAGACGTCGGCGCGGATGATGACAACGAAATAATCTGTACGCCAAGAATACTGCTATTATGACAAGCCCGACAATAAACCCATGAATCTTGTGGTCATCGATGAACACTTCCCAGTTATCATTGGTGCATCCGCCTTTACAACAACCCATTTTATTCTTAATAGCACTCTCATTTTTGTAACATTTTTTATGAATCTATTTATCTTGCTTTTATTTCAACTACATTTTTAATGCAGTATTAATTTCAATGATTATGACCGTGACTGACTGACGTCCAGAAATCATTAAGAATAGTTCTGTCATGTAGATTATTTTGTGATAACAAAGACAATACATTCATACTTCTTAAATAAAATCACCAAAGAAAGAAAAATCAATGATCCGTAAATTAATAATGAAAAAAAAATTTTGCGTTTCATGACTTTTTTAGAATGTACTTACTCTATTACAATTTAATATATAAAAAAAAATCAATATGCTTTTTTAATGTTAATATTAATGTTAAGCTCTCTTCGGAACAGTCATATCACAAAGGTAAGAAATAGAAAAGGTGCACATCCCTGATTGGCCGGGTCCGGGTCAGCCCTAACAGCATCCTGAAGGCATTAACAGACCGTTATGTCTGTCGGTACTTGAACCATTGTACCATGGTTCACTGCCCGGGACACCAGTGCTACGAGGCCCCGATTGTTTGTGCTGTGCGATTGTGTGTGCCCAAGTGTGAGAGTGTTTCATCTGGAGTTGCTGTTTCGGAGTGGAAACGCCCCGAACAGTGAGACGAAGGACCCGGGAACTTCTTTCTTTAAACGATTAGTTTAATACGGGTAGGTGTCGACCAGCCTGTGTAAGCTGCGTTACCGTTTTATTTGAATATAAAACCGGCGAACGTTAGCGCCACCGAGTCTGGCCCTCCTGTGTCATTCCCAGTCCTCTCCTACCCTTCGGGGCTAGGCGGGGCGGTCGCTAAACCCGATAAGCTGGTCCAATGGACTACCAAGTAGTCCAGGGTTATTGACGTTGGAACCCCCTACCGATAGTTAGTTTAAGTTTGTCGTAGTGTTAGTGTCCTTTTGGTTTATTTTATCTTGATTATGTAGTAAATTTAAATTTAAATTCTAACAATACAATAGTAATTAATTCATTTTATTTCATATTAAATTTTAACCTACCCGTTATTAATTAAAACTAGTGGCGCTGCTGTAGTTTCTTTGTATATATATTAAATTCTTTTTTCATTCTACCCACTTTAAGTGTTAT